AGGATGTTTTCAGAAACCAAAATAGTCTTGAGGACCAAATGTGTTTATTTTTGACAAAATGTAAAAAGAATGCTGAAGGGGCTTTAGCTGGCAGTGTAATACTTCTGAAGAGGGTCAGAGTCACTATGTGATTCTGTTAGAAACAGAAGGCTTCAATAACTAGCAATAATTGCAAAGGACTTGCAGACCAAAGGAAGGAATGTTTAGTGTTAAGGTAGTTCTCAGAGCACAGTGTTCAAGGCCCTCTTAAATTCAGGGAATGTTTGGCTATGACTTTGCTGCTCTAAACTTTAACAGTATTTTGTACAGAACATAATCTGAGACCGAGCATTTTATATGCCACTTTTGTGTATGAATGAGTTCAAGAGATTTTTTGGGTATTTTATTGTCTTTGATAACATAATAAAGTTGATCTAATATTGTGTGTCTCTTGTGAAAAACTTGTGCTGTCTTGCTTGACAGATGACATGTGAACCTGTTGCACAGCCTTCTTGAGGTGACTCATTTTATCACAGCAATTGTTCTTTAGTTCATATTCCAAATACACCAGCATTCTTCAGATATATATATAAAAAAAAATGGCAGCCACAGCTGGAGCTTAATGCTAATTGCTTGTGGCTTTATGGAGATGTGGGACTATAAATTTCCTTCTCTTTGCTTTCTTGTGGTGGTGGTGGGTGTTTCAGGATGCTCTGGGTTTCTGTTGGGGAATTGCTTTGAAATTAGTCCCTCGGAGGGATATATCGTAGGTGCCTGCCATTGCCATGAGACCGTTGGCTTCCACCAACCCATGCAAGCTGACCGTGTGGCTTTGTGGGCATATGAGACCATGGAAGCAGAGGCGTGAAGGCTCAGGAGAGGGGGAACAGGCTGATAGTGGGGTCACCAAGCCAGCTGACAAACTGGTGACCTGTGGTGTGTTTATAATATTGATGTCTAGCAGCAGTGGAGGCAGTTGGCACTCGGCATCTTTTAGACCACGAACTTACTGCTATGTGCTGCCTAATGCTGCTATCAGAAGTGCTTTAATTATGGGATTATAGTCTTGAGTAGATACAGTGTTGGCTTTTTCTTTTGCTTGATAAATTGCATGTTCTGCCTCAATAGCTGTTTTATTTAAGACTGATTACTTTATAGTCATTCATATCCACAAATGAGAGTTAAATGATTAGTTGCAGGATCAGTATTCTTTGGTTAAAACCAAAATGCAGTATGAGTCCAAGACGTTGAAGAAATTTCACGTGTAGTAGTTGACTATAAATACTGATGTTAAGCTTGTTTGCCCTAATGGTTTGGCTGTATGCATGCAGCACGTGGAAGGTGCTTACTAACTTTGTTTCTAAATTCTGCAGTGTCTGAGCTTCTGGGTAGACTCTGCCAACAGTGGATTTCAAATGGTATATTCTTGGTGATCAGCTGCTTTTAAGTCTTTTTGGTTTTCTCATTTTAATTCTGTTTTAACTATAAGGGCTTACAAATGCAACACCCTTTAATAGGGGAAAAAGTAATGAATGATCTCAAAGCTTTAACTATACTGTTAAATTTTACTGAAATACTTTAAAAGACTACATCTACTTTCTGTGGTAATATCTGGGAAATTTGGAATTCAAACAGCAGCACTTCTGTAATCACAGACTCCATCCTGAGATGCACATTTGGGGGTAAGAATTCTGTGTGCTTACACAGGGCCTCCTGTTATCATAATTAGTATTTATTTCACTTCTGGCACATAGCGATAAGATTTTAAGCACACTTTTTGAAAAGTGGGGCTCTTTTTGTCCCTGGATTTTGTACCCCTGAATGCACAGTACAATTAATAAAACAGCCACCAGAGGGAAGACTGTCTTAACAAGTGTTCCTGTGTGGTGTCCTGGAGATGAACAGAAAGCTTGGTGAGCGCAATGACAACGAAGGGCTTCCCTAGCCTGATGCAACTGTGGAGGTTCCTCTTCATCTTAATCCAGCATATTTGAATGAAATATATGTAGTACTTTGTCTTTCTACTTCAATCTGCCCAATTTCCACTGTGATATTGGAGGATTTAAGTAATTCTTAAGTGCTTTATGTCCTACAGAAATTCCCTTCCTTCACTTAAGGAAAGCATCAGTTCCTGGGGAAGTGAATTAAGAGGATTAATGCCTAGTTTGTTCTGCTGCCGTTATCCCAAGATTTGCGCTGGCTTCGTAATGTGGTAACTTCTGCCTGAGAGCAGAGGTTGTGTTT